CAGCTCGGTCGAGTGGCTCACTCCATTTGCTGAAAGATGGTCCTCAAAGAAATTGGTCAGTACCTTTCAGGCATCCTCTTGAGGATGCAACAGGAAATGTTCGCTGCCCTCTTTGGGCTGATGCTGAGAAGCTGCGGAATTTCACTCGTAAAATTCATGAACGCATGACCCAATAGTGGTAGGAGTTCTTCAGAGCCAACACCACGGATAAGCTCCAGAAAAGTGCCACAGGCTTACTGCCAGACGACTGGGGAGCAAATGACACTACATTCTCTTGGCTTCTTTCGAATCTCAAATGGAAAGAATTCCAGCTCGTTCAATTGTGCGTTTCTCTGAATACTAATTTAAAGGGATTCTGGAACATGGCAGCAGTTTCCCATTAGAAAATCCTACTCAATACGGTTAACTATAATTTATTGTACATTTTCAAAAAGGCAGAAGAGAGGGTTTTGAATGTTTACAACATAAAGAAACGGTAGTTGGTCACTATACACTGAATACACGTATCAGTCTGTATTTCATATAGACGTACAATTATCACAGGTCAACAAAGAATAAAAAACCAAAAAGCACAATGACCTGTATGGAGTTGCTTTAAAGAAAATGGTAACTGAACTCCTGCCAACATTTCTACATAGATATCTCAGGTTAAAGGGGATCACAGGGGCGAAGCACAGTGGCTCACGTCTGTAATCCCAGCACTTTGGGAGGCCAAGGTGGCGGATCACCCGAGGTTAGGAGTTTGAGATCAGCCTGGTCAACATGGTGAAACCCCGTCTCTACTTTAAAAATACAAAAATTAGCTGGGCATGGTGGAGGGTGCCCATAATCCGAGCTACTTGGGAGGCTGAGGCAGGAGAATCACTTGAACCTGGGAGACGGAGGCTGCAGTGAGCCAAGATCACACCACTGCACTCCAGCCTGGGTGACAGAGTAAAACTCCATCTAAAAAAAAAAAAAAAAGGCTCTGTGTGCCCTCAGAGTAGCCATCATAAGCAAAGCTCACCCTCCCGAGTTGAAAAAACTTATGGACAAGAAGTTAATTGAAATTAAATGGTGGCAGACATGTCCAAGGAGTATTGCGGGGATTTGATCCCTTTATGAATCTTGTGATAGATGAATGTGTGGAGATGGCGACTAGTGGACAACAGAACAATATTGCAATGGTGGTGATACGAGGAAATAGTATCATCATGTTAGAAGCCTTGGAACGAGTACAAATAATGGCTGTTCAGCGGAGAAACCCACGTCCTCTCTCCGTAGGGCCTGTTTATGATGTAAAAATTAGGGGGCCAGGCACGGTGGCTCACGCCTATAATCCCAGCACTTTGGGAGGCCAAGGCGGGTGGATCACGAGGTCAAGAGATCGAGACCATCCTGGTCAACATGGTGAAACCCTGTCTCTACTAAAAATACAAAAAATTAGCTGGGCACGGTGGCACGTGCCTGTGATCCCAGCTACTCGGGAGGCTGAGGCAGGAGAATTGCCTGAACCCAGGAGGTGGAGGTTGCGGTGAGCTGAAATCATGCCATTGCATCCCAGCCCGGGTAACAAGAGCGAAACTCCGTCTCAAAAAAAAGAAAAAATTAGGTCATGTACATTTTCATATTAGACTTTTTGTTAAATAAACTTTTGTAATAGTCAAAAATGTCTTCTCAGATGTCTGAATATAGAATATCAGCTCTCGTTCCAACTTTTTCTGATGTGCATTTTCCTGGTTGACACTGATTTAAAAGGGTTTTATGCATTAAAGTGGACGAATCTTGTTAAATGTGAACAAAAAAAAGGTTGGGGGGGCATCATGGGAACACAGTTTGTTCTACATTTTCATATTTTATCCTTTTACTTAGGCCTAAGATCAGAAAGAAGTTAAAGATACATTTGTATTTGAAAAATTGACCAAATTTTCCTACTTCTTCCGATGTTTGGTATTTGGTTTCGTAAGTAACATAATGGACACCTTTGCGCATAAAGCTTACGCCACGGTCCTAACGATTTCCTTGAGATGGACGCCATGTGGGAATGACCGCGTCAGCCTACACCGTCGGCTTTCCATGGCCTGACAGCGTGGCCTCTTGCTGACCAGAAGGACCCAGCGCTCTAGGGCCCAACCACGGGGTGACTGGTGTTGCGGTGATTCCTATTTCACCAGCTCTGCTGAGTCGATAGGTAAATCCGCTGCGGCATTCCGGCTCTAGCTCTATCTCATCAAAATTCACAACGCTTGGAACTGGGCCTGTTTCCACTGTCCAAATGTTGTGTAAGACTGAGAAAGAAACTCATTATCAACCTTGCAGCTCATTAGCAGACTCTTCCTCTGCACAAACAGCCACTAATTACCACTGGCAAGTCGCTCTGGTTCTCACCTCTCCTTGGCTTCCTTCTGGGCGTGACACTCCCAAAAAGCCACTCTCTACCTGATGATGCGGTGTCCCTCCAATTTCCTAAGGTGGTGGATTAAACAGGAACCTTGCTCATACCTGAGCTCAAATCACTGTGTGTGATACTGGGCTGATGACCCAACACCCCTAAGCCGTCCTCTCTCTGTCCATTCATGGGCACGGTGTCACCTGGCTGGCCAGGTCGTCTGAGCGCTGGAGGATGCTGTGACTGAATCTGCCTGCTATACAGACTCAGTAAGAGACCCCCTTCCTGCCTCTTCCCCTTGTAAGCAATGACACTGACTCAGCATCCCGTGCGGGCAACAATGTTTCAGATGAGAGAGTGTCCCATTATCTTCTAGAATTAAAATTGCATGTATTGGCCGGACATGGCGGTGCACACCTGTAATCTCAGCCCTTTGGAAAGCCGAGGCCACTGGATCACCTGAGCTCACGAGTTCAAGACCAGCCTGGTCTCGGTAGTGAAACCCCCTTTCTACTAAAAATACAAAAATTAGCTGCGCATGGTGCACACAACTGTAATCCCAGCTACTCGGGAGGCTGAGAAAGCTGTATCGCTTGAACCCAGGAGGCAAAGGTTGCAGTGAGCTGAGATGGCGCCACTGCACTCCAGCAATGAGACAGAGTGAGCAGGGTGACAGAGTGAGACACCCTCTCAAAAAAAGAAAAGAATAAAAGCTTAAGTTGTTTCCCTTTAATCAACAGGAGACAGTGTGTCAAAGTATTCACCAGAACATGCACTAGGAAACACAGACCAAAGATGAGAGTATCGGTATTACTTTCCACTAGGATTACTTTTTTTTTGAGATGGAGTTTCTCTCTTGTTACCCAGGCTGGAGTGCAATGGCGCGATCTCGGCTCACCGCAACCTCCGCCTCCTGGGTTCAGGCAATTCTCCTGCCTCAGCCTCCTGAGTAGCTGGGATTACAGGCACGCACCACCATGCCCAGCTAATTTTTTTTGTATTTTTAGTAGAGACGGGGTCTCACCGTGTAGACCAGGACGGTTTCGATCTCTTGACCTCGTGATCCACCCGCCTCGGCCTCCCAAGGATTACTCTTTTTAAATATGAAGCTCACTGTGAAAAACTATAGCAAGATAGAGAAATTCCCATACCTACGCAAAAGGCTTGTGCTTCCTTTTTTAAACTCGACTTTATTGCTGCCTTTTTTTCAATTTAAAAAATATTTTCTGAAGCCTACTTCCGTAGACCCACTTTGGAAACTTCGAAAAACTCTAAAGAAGCCTTTCTCACTGATCGGTTTATTGATTTGCTTCAGGAAAATGAAAAATTCAAAACTTAAAAAATGACAGTTTAAATTATAAATACTAAAAGTTAACTCTAACATTGGAATGTTACCAAAGCATGTGAGAAATGGGCTTTTAAAACTTACAGAATTGCAACAAAAGAAAAAGAGGAAAGGAAAGGAAAAAAATCCCCTTAGGTTTTATTTTTTCTTTCTTTCTTTCTGTCTTTCTTTTTTTTTTTTTTTTTAACAGTGTCTCACTCTGTCACCCAGGCTGGTGTGTAGTGGTACAATCATGGCCCATTGTAGCCTCTAACTCTTGGTCTCAAGCGATTCTCCCACCTCAATCTCCCAAGTAGGTAGGACCAGAGGCACTTTTCATTTTTTTTGGTAGAAACAGGGTCTCACTATGTTTCCCCAGCTCATCTCGAACTCCTGGCGTCAAGCAAACCTCCCACCTCAGCCTCCCAGAGTGTTGGGACTGCAGGTGTACAGGTGTGAGCCGCCTTGCACGTCAGAGTGCTGGGACTGCAGGTGTACAGGCGTGAGCCGCCTTGCACGTCAGAGTGCTGGGACTGCAGGTGTACAGGCGTGAGCCGCCTTGCACGTCAGAGTGCTGGGACTGCAGGTGTACGGGCGCGAGTCGCCTTGCACGTCAGAGTGCTGGGACTGCAGGTGCACGGGCGTGAGCCGCCTTGCACGTCAGAGTGCTGGGACTGCAGGTGTACAGGAGCAAGTCGCCTTGCACGTCAGAGTGCTGGGACTGCAGGTGTACAGGCGTGAGCCGCCTTGCACGTCAGAGTGCTGGGACTGCAGGTGTACAGGCGTGAGCCGCCTTGCACGTCAGAGTGCTGGGACTGCAGGTGTACAGGCGTGAGCCGCCTTGCACGTCAGAGTGCTGGGACTGCAGGTGTACAGGCGTGAGCCGCCTTGCACGTCAGAGTGCTGGGACTGCAGGTGTACGGGCGCGAGTCGCCTTGCACGTCAGAGTGCTGGGACTGCAGGTGTACAGGCGCGAGTCGCCTTGCACGTCCGGTGCTCTTTAGAGAGTTAAATCTTCTATAATAATTTTTCCGTCTGACATTAACTGGGCCACGGTTCCAAATATGCTCTTGAGCTTGAACCGAATAAATGAGGACAAATGACAAATGGCCACGGACCGACGGCAGCCCAGGGAAAGAACGTCCAAGGGTGGGTGCGGGCAGATGGCACCGGGAACCGCCAGCGCCTGCGGGCTGCGGTCTCACACCTGCGCTTGGAACAGCTCGGGGCGCAGCCCCAATGGAGGAAGTGCACCCACGCAGGCCTCCGGCCCCGGCCCCCGCCCCCGGCCACCCTTGGGGCGCTCACCGCATGGTGTAGAGCAGGGTGCCATCGTCCTCCAGCCGTAGCAGCTTGTTGGGCGTGGTCATGTTGTGCGCGATGGACTTCTTCCCGTTGTGGAAGAACGTGTCGGGGGTCCAGATCTTGCTGGCGAGGAGGTTGTTGAGAGGGAGGCGCTGCATCGGACCCTTGAACCGGAGCCTTTCGTCTTTCCAGCTTTGCCGGAAAAACACATCTATGGTGTACTCCTAGCGCAAAGGAAAGCGCCAGGCGGTCAGCGTGTGGGTCGGGCAGGAACCTGCGGCGCTGAGTTGGAACCGTGTGCCCGGCCACGCCCCGGGACCTACCATTTCCGTGTCGGACACAGGGCCGAAGCTGGTGACGTAGATGTCCGTCCTCACCTGAGTGATGCGCTCTGAAACACAGACACAGGTCCCTGGGCTGCACCGACTCACCGGGTGCACCTGCCACTCCCTCACGCTCTCAGTCCACTGACCGGCGTCACCCTCTGCCACCGGGGGCCTTTGCGGTGCGTTTGGTAAATGTGGAGGTCTTGACAATTACCAGATGAAACCAAGCTGCTCCCCACTATGCACCCTGACATGAAATTCCCACTGCACAGAAGGCAGCTTGGCTCTGCTCCTCCTGCCCCCTGGGAGCAGTCCTGGGAAGACCCAGGCTGAGGCCTCTGGGGTTTTGCAAACACCTGAGCTCCCATTTCCTCCTCTGTAAACCTGGAACAATGATGCCAGCCTGACAGCACAGAGCCATGCCGTCCCCATAGAGAGGGGCTTTGAAAAGGGTCAGGCAGTTCGGGGTGCGGGGAGCTGAACTTCCAATCAAAGCTGGAGGCCCTGGGTGGTGTCCGGGAAAGGACAGATGAGAGCCTGCCCAGTGTGCCCTGAGACAGAAAGGAAGACCCATGTCTCCTTATGTAGCGTTTTGAACTGTAATTACAGAAAGCCCTATCATGGAAGACCGTGACTGCAAAGAAAATTCCTGGAAATTGGTAAAGGGATACAAGTGGCTAATACTATTTGGGGGGAAACCTGTGTGTTCCCTGAGCACTGCCAGGGCCCTGTTAGTCCTTGTGGTCATGAGCAGGAAGAAATTCAAAGCGCACCAAAGCACACACCAAGTAACTCCCTGCTGCTCTGTGAGCCTGCCTGTCCATCAGCTCGGAGGGTGATCACCTGTCCTCACGGTGTGCACCTGTGTGTGGGCAGGTGTCTGACTGACACTCTGTATTGTGTGATGCAGGTGCCTGTGTGATGCTGTGTTTTGTATGATGCAGGTGTCTGTGTGATGCTGTGTGTTGTGTGATGATGTGTGTTGTATGATGCGGGTGTCTGTGTGATGCTGTGTGTTGTATGATGGAGGTGTCTGCATGATGCTGTGTTTTGTAATGATGCAGGTGTCTGTGTGATGTGTATGGTGTATGATGCAGGTGTCTGTGTGACGCTGTGTGCTGTATGATGCAGGTGTCTGTGTGATGCTGTGTGTTGTATGATGGAGGTGTCTGCATGATGCTGTGTTTTGTAATGATGCAGGTGTCTGTGTGATGTGTATGGTGTATGATGCAGGTGTCTGTGTGACGCTGTGTGCTGTATGATGCAGGTGTCTGTGTGATGCTGTGTGTTGTTTGATGCAGGTGTCTGTGTGATGCTGTGTGCTGTATGATGCAGGTGTCTGTGTGATGTGTGTGTTGTATGATGCAGCGTGTCTGTGTGATGTGTGTATCGCATGATGCAGGTATCTGTGTGATGCTGTGTGTTGTATGATGCAGGTGTCTGTGTGATGCCATGTGTTGTATGATGCAGGTGTCTGTGTGATGCCATGTGTTGTATGATGCAGGTCTGTGTGATGCCATGTGTTGTATGATGCAGTGTGCCTGTGTGATGTGTGTACTGCATGATGCAGGTGTCTGTGTGATGCTGTGTGTTGTATGATGCAGTGTGCCTGTGTGATGTGTGTACTGCATGATGCAGGTGTCTGTGTGATGCTGTGTGTTGTATGATGCAGGTGTCTGTGTGATGCCATGTGTTGTATGATGCAGGTGTCTGTGTGATGCCATGTGTTGTATGATGCAGGTGTCTGTGTGATGCCATGTGTTGTATGATGCAGTGTGCCTGTGTGATGTGTGTACTGCATGATGCAGGTGTCTGTGTGATGCTGTGTGTTGTATGATGCAGTGTGCCTGTGTGATGTGTGTACTGCATGATGCAGGTGTCTGTGTGATGCTGTGTGTTGTATGATGCAGTGTGCCTGTGTGATGTGTGTACTGCATGATGCAGGTGTCTGTGTGATGCTATGTGTTGTATGATGGAGGTGTCTGTGTGATATGTATGTCATATGATGCAGTGTGTCTGTGTGATGGTGATGTGTGTATTGCATGATGCAGGTGTCTGTGTGATATGTATGTTGTATGATACAGGTGTCTGTGTGCTGCTGTGTGTTGTATGATGCAGTGTGTCTGTGTGATGTGTGTACTGCATGATGCAGGTGTCTGTGTGATGCTGTGTGTTGTATGATGCAGTGTGCCTGTCTCCTCACTGAGATGCCAGCCCCAGCAGGGTGGCCCAGCAGGCTCTCTGTGGTATTCTCCGTCTCTGCAGGTCTGGCAGGCAGGGAGGATGAGGGAATGCCACAAGCACTGATGGCAGTGTAGGGCTTCTCTAGATGCTCGGACCCTTCTGAGTGTGTTCAAGGGACTGGACTGCAGGGCACAGAGGCCTGGGAACATGATTCAGAGGGCAAAGGAAAAGACTGTCAACAGGCCTGTGCCCAAAAGTCAGAGTGGGAACTCACACTTTAAGTGGATCTCCCAGTTAAAAATGAAAATACTGGTCCAGGTGCGGTGTCTTGCACCTGTAATCCGAACACTTTGGGATTCGGGTGGGCAGATCGCCTTTGGTTGGGAGTTCGATACCAGCCTGGCCAACATGGTGAAACCCCGTCAGTACTAAAAACACAAAAATCAGCTGGGCGTGGTGGCGGGAGCCTGTAATCCCAGCTACCGGGGAGACTGAGGCACGAGGATTGCTTAAACCCAGGAGGCAGAGGCTGCAGTGAGATGAGATCACACCATTGCACTCCAACCTTGGCAACAAGACCGAAACTCTGTCTCACACAAAAAATGCAAATACTGCAGAACTAAACTTTTTCCTCCAGCAATGGATTCCCAGGAAAGTTTCCACCTCGCCTAACCCAACAAGTTCAGACGCCACAGCGAAACTGTACAGCCAAGGGCACTGCGCGTGCCTGGAAACTGCACACATTCCTAGCACAAAAATTAAGCTGTGACAGGTGAGCCCTACAAGCACAATCTGATTATATCCGTTCATTTTTACAGAATTCCATAAAGTCAAAGTAAATACTGTGATTACGGCCGTCATGAAGAATTAAATCTCTAACCGTATAACCCGTAAGGATAGAAAGGATGACTGCCTTCCACAGCGCATTTCTGAGAAGGACTCACATAAACACAGGAGTATGAGGTTCATTTTATATTATTTCTTAACGCAGAGTAAACCTCAGCTTTGGTAACACCAAAAAGCTGTTCCTCCTTTCGATAACAGACTAGATTTTGCAAAGGAGCTTTGGGGAGACCACTTCCTCCAGCTTCTTGTGTCTAGAAAATAACAAAGAATGCCGGACCCTTGGCGAGGCTGGAAAGCCATCAAACCAAGAGCCTTGCAGGGAAGCTTTTAGAAATTCTTTGAATTGAGCAAACACAAGCTTGAGATGAGGCGTAGGCCGTTTCCGGATCCTTGCCAGGCTCAGCCGAGGAGGGCACACTCACCTCCCAGGCCTGGCGGAGGAGGGCACACTCACCTCCCAGGCCCGGCAGAGGGGGGCACACTCACCTCCCAGGCTCAGCAGAGGGGGGCACACTCACCTCCCAGGCCCGGCAGAGGGGGGCACACTCACCTCCCAGGCCCGGCGGAGGGGGGCACACTCACCTCCCAGGCCCGGCGGAGGGGGGCACACTCACCTCCCAGGCCAGGGCGAGGGGGGCACACTCACCTCCCAGGCCAGGCCGAGGGGGGCACACTCACCTCCCAGGCCAGGCCGAGGGGGGCACACTCACCTCCCAGTCCTGGCAGAGGGGGGCACACTCACCTCCCAGGCCCGGCCGAAGTCTGTTGTCGTAGCCATCCAGGAGCCCGTCCAAGATCCTGGTGAATATGGTGATGTTGTCATTGGTCTCATCTTTCACTGAACTGGTTGGCATCTGTGAAAAGCTTTTAAGAAGAGAAACAAGAGGAAGCATTAAAATGTATTATTTCTTACAAATTCTTCTCAAGCTACAGAAAACCAGGGAGACACGTGGAGGCTCGTCTCCTGAGATGGGGACCTGAGAACACAGCTCCCACACTGCCTGGGGGACTGTCTGGCCGAGACACACCTCAGCTCTTGAACATCCGAGGATACCCCGCTTGGAGCTACTTACCCAAACACCTGACCTGAGGCGATTCTAAGGAGCTGGTTTATGTCAATGTTACCATGTTAACGACCAGTCACTGTGCACGGACCGGCGGAGTCTAATCCACTCACGGGATTTCAGAAGTTTGGTTTGAACACACAAAACTGAGTCCTCGTATTGCTAGGGTCACCTGCACTGGGTGCCGGGGCGTGGAGGGGACGCTGAAAACCTTCACTAGGCCGCTGTGCTCAAACCTCGCTGCATCCTTAGTTGGGCTGGGAGTGTTTGTGCTGCGCAGAATATGCCAGAATTGGAGAGCGAGTGGCAGACACGGCGGAGCCTGTGTCATCTCCGGGGTCCCGAACCCTTCAGTGATGCTTGCTCACAGCACATTCTGTGGGACCCAGTGTCACACAAACCCTCGAGAAGAGTGGGCTGAGCCTCAGGGAAGACAGGAGAACATTTTTTGTTTGTTGGGTGAAGTGAGCCAGGCTCCCAAAGCTTATGCACTATGAGCAGAACAAAACTAGAAACTGCCCTAGACAAACCGAGGACAGTGTCTAGGGGGACGGGGAGTCCACAGGCCCAGAAGGCAGCACCACAGCTGAGGAGCATGGATCCCACCTCCGGTTTCTACAGCTGCTTTCACATGTGCAAACAGCAGTCAGTTTTTAATTACTGAGCCGTTGACTGCAAATTTGGCTTCAAGGGGACTTACCAAACTGAAAGCTAGCTATGGCTCCCAAGAAGGAAGCACCCTGGGCACTTGGGAGAAGAACACATGATTCCCCGCATGTCCCTGAAGTGCCTGGCTGTGGGGCCCGAGCTCTGCTTAAAGCACTTTCTTTCCCATGAAAGGGCTGAAATCAGAGCTGTGAGCGGCCAGCCCTGGAGAGACGGTGAGGTCAGAATCGAGGCCTGCCTGCTCCATCCTGTTCTTAAAAGTCTGTCATTGTCACTGATTGCATCTCACAGATCAATTCTTTGCTGGCCCTAAAGCTATTCCATTGTGAATAGAACAAGAGAATAGAGAATAAAGTTCTTTTGATCTAATTTTCACATCACCATAGAAATGCATAGAGTTGAAGCTCTAACAAGCTAAAATTCATTCCTGCTAGTACGGAGCCCACAGAGGTATACTTTTTTTTAACTCTGCGATTTCGTATTTATAAACATTAAATTCCCCTTCCTCTAACATCCGTGCCATTTCCGAAGGACAAAGCGCTATGCCCGGCAGGCTCATACCAATGAACAGGTTTCTTCAAGGTTTTGGGGAAGGGGGTGGAAAAAGAAGGTTCTATTTCCTACCTGCCCAGTGTGTAACTATTGGTCACACCAGATCTGGCCATGTCCAAGCTGCTCAGGTTTCGGAAGGTCTTGGCTGTCTCTTTACCTTACAAATTGAAGTGAGAGCATGTGCACTAGGAGAAAAAGCCCATCTTAACATTTAACTTGAAGTTTTCTAAGCTACTCCATCCTCTGCGGTGAAAATGTTCCTAAATCGGGTCTGACGGTAACAGCCCCGGCCGTCACAAGGGCTTGACTTCACGACTGACCATCTGCAGACTGTGTAGCCACTGATGCCTCTGTGAGCGTTGTTTTCTGTGGCTCTCTCCAGGAGCAGAGATAAAGACACACTGTCCGGCCAGCTTCGGGGTAACAGCACCCCAGTGGGCTCCAAATCCCACTCACAAATACCCTAATCATTTCCCACAGTGATGGAATAGAACGCTTTGCTGAAGAATTTCAAAGCTTGGATTCCACTTCTGGACCAAACCCGTTTTTGTTGGTTTCTGTATATCTTCACACATTTGCACATAACTACACTTTTCATGGAGGAATTTCAGCGTCTGGCCTTTCCCGCCATAACTGCCTTTTGCATTTATCTGTAGACCTTTGTATGACAGAGGCCATAGCTGGGGATTTGCAGTGTTTTCCTTGCTGTAATAACTGAAGATAGCCAGTAGGGGGGAAGAAACAGATTCTCAGAAAGTTCCAAAGATGCCTATCTTTAGGTGGGAGCGGAGGGGTTGTTTCTTCATGAACTGGAGGCCCTCCTCTCTCCATAGGCCCTCCTCAAAAATGTTGCATCTGTAGTGCATGGTTACGAAATACACCACTTTCTCCGCCATGGAGAGAAAGCCCCGTGCTGTATCACAGAAGGCAAATGCTGTGTTTTCTCAGCTCCTGGTGTATGAGTGCCTTCATAAAGGACACTTTCACGGATGCCAAGGGAACTGGCTAGCGCCTCTACCAAGCTGCAGGATCTTCAAGAACTGCTGCTAAGCGAAGGAGGAATTTCAGAGCGCTTTGTTCCATCTGGCTCACTGAAAGCACTTCAAAAACAGAGTAACAGAGAGATACAGGGCCACGCCTTTGGTGAGCAACAACCTGCAGTGTGACGGGTGAGTCCCGCAGGTGGAGACGGAGATGTCCTCATCACAAGGACACTCACTCCAGGTAGGGTCAGCAGGCAGCCTGGACTCCCCGACACCACTTCTGCTTTCTCCAGTGCACTGAGTACAGTGCAGGAGCTCTGCTCATCCTGGGGTCCACCGGAGGGCACAAGTGCTTCAGGGACAAGTAAAGGCTCCGCTCTTTGGGAAAGAGAGTTTTTGGGAGCTGAGATCACATACCTTTTCCCGAAAAAGAGTCTTAGACGTAATAGAAATACTTGAAAATTTGGTGACTTACCCTTCGACTTTAGTCTAGGTTAATTTCACTATGTTCTCGTAAAATAGGGATTATTTCCTTATATTTAATGGACATTCTCTACAAAACATGTCCCACTTACGCCATGTTCTCAGTTCCATCATTTTCCTTAATTTGGTATTTGAAAGGGTACAAGTTATGGCATCAGTTCTGGAGAAGAAAACAGCTTCTTGGCCTTGCCGTACCAGCACCGGGGCCGGTGAAGGCGGTGCGTGATGTGGTTCTTTGCGATGTTACCTTCTGTAAATAGATGACCACTTCTGACGTACATAGAATGAAATCGATAATAGCAACTGCAGATGTATTTTAATTGGAAATTACTTTGGGAGTTGAACTGGGTTGGTTCTAAGCTGCAGCTTATCTGTCTTCTTAAATTTCGTTCTTCCCCAGTATTTAATGACTTCTGAGAAACGTCTCTTCCATTTATTTGTCCGTGACTTTCAGGTCACTAAATGAGTACCTCTAAGTGGCACCAGCGTGTGATGTCTTCCGCAAATGCCCACCACCCGTCTCTTAAGCACAATACTAGAAAAGCAACAACAATGTAACAGAAAAACAAAACTATGACGGACACTGGCCGGACACTGAGGGTCAATCCCGGGGTTCCCCTCTTACAGTGGAAAGCAAGGACAGGCACCACATTGTTTTATGAGGCGCTGAGTCTGTGCCATGGAACAAACTGGAACCCTCCAATACTCCTCCGAGATCCTGAAGTCCCCCAGTCCTCCCTGCAGCTCCGGAAATCATGCTCAAGTGTACTCCTCACTCTTCATGGAGGTTTCCATTCTTGTCCTTGACCCTGCTGCCCACAAGGCAAAACCCACGCCCAGTGGCCCCACAGGCTGGAGGAGCCTCTCCCACCCTGCCCTCCTTCCTGGACTCAGCCCCGTCCCTCCTCTCAGCCACCCTGGAGGACCTGCATGGGTGATGACACAGTGATGTTCCACTCCGGTCCTCACAATCACTCTCTCCATTCCCTCGCCATCCCCATCAGTGAGCACCACCGTTCCTTAAAAAAGCCTTTCATTCGCCCCAAACTCCCTTGCAGTCACTGCTCCATTCTTTGCCCCTCTTCTCATGAAAACTCACTGGGAGACCTGTCCATACGAGCAACTCCGCTGCCTCCCCTCCCTTCTCTTGCAGCCACTTTGCCAGGCCTTCACTGCCTGCAGCCCACGGAAGCTTCTCTTCTGGAGGCCAGGAGTGAACTCCACATGGCCAATCCAAAGATCAAGTCTTGGTTCTCGGCTCAGGTGACCTGTGGGCAGTGTTCCTACAGTCCTTTCCACTTAGCCTCAGGGCATGGCTCTGTATTTCCCTTCACTTGCCTCTTCCCCCCACTCTTGCCACCTTACCTTCCTGCCTTCAGACCACAGGCATGCTCCACGGAACAATCCAGATACCCTTCCCTTTCTGTCTGCACCTAACCTCTGACTGTCTTATCTAATCCAGTGGCTTACATACTTCCCAGTGTATGGAAACACCTCAGGTCCACACCTCCAGGCCAGTCCCTCTGTCTTTCAGACCTCTACATCCACGCAGAGAGCTAGTGGTGTCTCCAGGGGCTTCCCACACCCACCACTGCACCTGTGACCTTCCATACCTGAACCTGCACCTGTGGCCTTCCATACCTGAACCTTCACCTGTGACCTTCCGTACCTGAACCTGCACCTGTGACCTTCCGTACCTGAACCTGCACCTGTGGCCTTCCGTACCTGAACCTACACCTGTGACCTTCCGTACCTGAACCTGCACCTGTGACCTTCCGTACCTGAACCTGCACCTGTGGCCTTCCGTACCTGAACCTGCACCTGTGACCTTCCGTACCTGAACCTGCAACTGTGACCTTCCGTACCTGAACCTGCACCTGTGACCTTCCGTACCTGAACCTGCACCTGTGACCTTCCGTACCTGAACCTGCACCTGTGGCCTTCCGTACCTGAACCTGCACCTGTGACCTTCCGTACCTGAACCTGCACCTGTGACCTTCCGTACCTGAACCTGCACCTGTGACCTTCCGTACCTGAACCTGCACCTGTGACCTTCCGTACCTGAACCTGCACCTGTGGCCTTCCGTACCTGAACCTGCACCTGTGGCCTTCCGTA